ATCAGTTGATCTCCTTATTTCACCATCCACTTGTATAGAAAGATGGTTGTGTTTTGGCGATGCTGCGTCTGATACTTTTTTACCCTTAGATCCAATCTCGGGATTGTCATGAGAATCATTTTGATTCACCTTGCTAATTTTCTTAGCTTTCCTGGGACTATCAAAATAAGCAGTGTAGGAGACATCTTCTTCACTTCCCCAGTTACCAAATTTTGGTACTTGCGACTGCTTCTGCAAGAATCAGAAACTAAAATCAAGAAACATGTACATGAAAGTAAAAGGAATTAACCACTGTTTAGATTAAGAAACCGTTTTTCGGTTGATTAACTTGTTCAAAGTGTCCATTTATTACGGGAGCATTTTCTAGATTTCATCTTTGGTAATATATACATTTCTGTATCACTTTTGGTTCCATCACATTCATGCTTTAAAAGAATTAAGTACCAGATTGATTGTGGTTCACATAAAAAAGTTTACAATCACACCCAATACTACTTTGATTAAGGAATTGATGGCCTCTGATAAATATGCAAATCTTTACCGGAATTAAAGCTCTTCACAACACTTCTTCAAGTACAAGGTACTTTCGAGATAGTCCCCAATTCTTCTATTGTTACAAACACTTCTCGAAAATATCTCCAACTTGCCAATGACCGTTAACCCCTCTTAACTTCATAATCATTAATAAACTCCCTATATCGTCTCAATACTTTCAAATTCCCAAGACAAGCAACTAAAAAATTTCTTGAGCCATCGCTTTATTCAGCCTAGCCAGTAGCTAGCACTTAAAAAACCCACCAGAATTGCTAGCTACTTTATGCAAAAATCTCCATGATAAACCTTTCTTGCTTCCAAATCCTGCTCAAGATTTATTACTTAAGCAAACTAATCACGTACCCCAACCCACGATTCATTTTTCTGGATTCATCCAACCATCTAAATGAAACCCACAGAATTTTCATTTAAAAATTTTACACCAAGCTCCAGCATCCCACCCACACAGATAGTATATAAATTTAGTAAAATGCATTATGTAGAGAAAACTTCTCCATGCACCTCCTGTTTATAGTCAAAACACTAAGGGGAACCTAAATTTTAATACAATAGTCCCCCATGAGCCGAATTGCATAAGTACATTTTATGAATGGAGGCCATTCAAGAACCCTAAATATGCTTTTATTTCTTTTGAACACACAAACAGCAATTCATTCATAAACAAGAAAACCCATTAACAGATGATTTCAGTACAAGTACTACAACTCTAAAAAAAAACTAAACCAAGAATTGAAGCAGATATTTTCTCAAGAGAACATTAATGTCGATTATTCACAAGAAAAATGGAAAAGAATACTCACTGCCATTGATCCAAACTCTTCAAGAAAAATTAATTATAAGCAAAACCCA